CTCGGACAAGCACTGAGCATACAGTGCTTATTAATATACGTTGGGTACGGGCAAACCGTTATATAATTGACTAATCAAGAGTTTCTCGATGTTGTCGATGTCAACCTAATGCGGGGTAGGAAAGGGTGATTGACCAACCTACTGCAAACTCTTGGTGGCGCATGATTGTGAATCGCCCGTACTTTACGGGGGAAAGAAGACTACTATCAGCTGCCAATTAGTAGGCTTGGTTTGGTCCAGTTTTCAAATACAATTATCAAGAATGCATGAAAATTTATTACAATTTTATCAATATCACAGTTCGGTTACAGTAAATACCTCGATCAGGCTCAAACATTTAAATTTCTCAAATAATGCCTTACGCCTGTTCTTTTACTCAGCACAACGGGGAAAAAACCCAACTGGCTACTCATAGTATTACTGACAAGACTACTCGTGCTTCCAACAAAATATTAAATGAGTTGTGTCAATAAATATATATATAGTTACAGTCGACATGTATCAAGCCCAGTCTTAGCTCAATCAAACCAAGAGTGTATTTCAATGCTAGACGGATACAAAAATGTATGAAGGCCTTCATAACATGCATTGTCAGAAAACCGTTTGAGCTAATGAGCTTGATGTTGATAAAGCATATAAAGAACATAGCGATTGTCAACGAACTGATCACTGCAAATTTCTAGGTAGAGATTCCATTGATGGTAGTACTTTTTGAATTTATGATCCAAATTGTTCGCTTAATATCTTATGACTTGACAAGTACATTGTCTATGGAGTACTTTAACACAAACATGCAATGATTCATTATGTTACATTTGTAATCGCAAGGAGATGCTTTGTCAAAATACTAAGACGAGGACGGCATCGGTGGGTGACTGTCCTTTGACTTTCTTTTTCTTTCAAACTTCACTAAATAACGTACAAATAAATACAGAAATTTGGGGAAGGAGTTAAGATTACAGGATGAATACTTGATGAAACAGACGGGAGGTTTGTGTTCCTCCTTGCATGGGTAAGTCCCCTCTTGTTTCTAGTCTTGGCTCAAGTCTGGAACTGAGTCAAATTCTTTGAGATTTGTTAATACCTACACAATGTTTTAAGGAATGAAGGCATTGGCTTTACTTCCTGCAAAACCTTGTGGGCTATACTTGCTGTCATGTTAATTAATGCATGTGCATTTTGCTGCAGAAATAATTCAAACAATTCAACTAATTTGAATTTAATAAAAAAAAAGCTGCTTTATAGCAAATATCAAGAAGGGCTTAACTAAATACTAAACATCAGTGTGACCTCCCGTAAGAGGAAAAACACTAATCTTAGAACCTCCAACCGAATGAAATAAAAAAAAAACACATTTAACAGTACTGCATCAAGCTGGATGCAGCATTGTCTAGGAAATATGGCAAGCTTGAAAATTTCAGTTGGGAGAATCGGCACTGCGGAAGGGAAAAGCCTCAGCCAAATGGTAATTGGCACTCTAACACACAGGCCTTATTTGCAGGTAAATATTGTAGCGCCGGCGGGTCCAGCCGGTGGGGGCACCAGCTCGGACCCGCATGGAGTTGGCTGGCTGCCCCCGCTGGTATGCGAACGGCCCCTGGTTTTCCCGCCTCGCGCCTGCGCAGTCCCTGCTGACGGGCGCCATGTTTAGAGCTTGTCTGAAAAACACATTGTTGTTGACGCTACAGCAATAAAACAGAGATTTCTTGACCAGAGCAGCAATCTGTGGCTGTGTATCTATACTAGCGTCGGACCCTAATCCGTAGGACACGCAACAACTGGTGGCAGCGGTGGGATGCTGGATAGCTGTAAAATACAGGTAAACTCTTCGCCTTTTCTGTGTCATGGAATTGGTGGATGATTTGGGTCGGGTGCCGGACTCACTAGACAGCGGCAGCACAGGCCAGCGCGGGGCCCCGTGGTCGGGGGCCCAGACTGCAAAGGCGACTTGGAACTCACCTGGGTTGGCGGGCGAGCTGGAGTCGTTCCTCGCGGGGAATCTGGAACAGTTATCCAGGAGCGGGAGGTGGAAATTCGAGGGTATTGAGTGCGTAGAGTGCGCGGCGTGGTGTGATCTTGGGTTAGGTCCCCTGGAGAATGCAGCCAAGTCTGTGCAGTCCCTGGGCGACTTCCCCCCTCCTAAAGTTGATGGGGTGAGAAGGGTGCGGTTCCATTTTGAGCATGACCATTTTGCCCCGGGGAGAGGGCGGGGCATCGCCAGGCGACATCCTCCCAACCCCTCACTAGTACACCCATCGCCGGCGTCCGTGAGGTGCCCTCTGGCGGTGGGGACGCACTGGGAGAGGCAGTCGGAGCGCCCTCAGGGTGGGTCTGGGGTCCTGGTAGGGGCCGGTTGGAAGTTCATGTCTTGTGTTGCCCTCGTTCATGTCGGGGCGCCCTCTCGCGGTACCATCGTGGCCGAGAGAATGCTCCTCTTGGAGCACGGCCGGGCAGCTGCCGCGGGGTTGGAGCCTCGGTGCGAGGTAGCTAAAGCTTGTAATACTAGCCATAGTATAAGGGCGCCCTTTTGCGGTGCCGCAGTGGCTCAGAAAGCGTCCCTCTTGGAGCGCGGCCGGGCCATGGCGGCGGCCGCGGGGGCAGGGCACCGATGCAAATTGATGGGAGCTAGCAAGACCTGTTATAGGTTTCGGAGCGCCCTCGCGTGCCGGGGACGTGGCTGGTGTAGCATACCGCCAGGAGCGCTGCGAGGCCACGGTCGTCGGAAGGGGGGGGTCGGGCTAGCTGGAGTTTGTGAGATAAATAGTGAGATGCGGACGCCCCCGCGCAGCGAAACTGCGACGGGTGGGGATCCGCACTCATCTGTATGAGGCGGATCCCCCTCGGATCCATGCTCAAACTCATGAGGCGGATCCCCATTTGGGGGTCTGAACGCGTCTGTGTGAGGCGGAGCCCTCTCGAATCTACGCACGGACGCATGGGGCGGATCCCCACCCGGGGATCCATATGCATATATATGAGGCAGATCCCCCTCGGATCCACGCTCGAACTCATGAGGCGGATCCCCGCTTCGGGATCCGCACGTGTCTGTGTGAGGCGGATCCCCCTCGGATCCACGCACAGACGCGCGAGGCGGATCCCCCTTGGATTCGCACACAAACTCATGAGGTGGATCCCAAACCGGGGATCTGCACGCATCTGCGTGAGGCGAATCCCCACTCGGGGATCCGCACGCGTCTGCGTGAGGCGGGTCCCCCTCGGATTCATGAGCAGACGCGTGAGGCGGGTCCCCATCCGGGGATCCGTGCGCGCCTTGTCGAGGCGGGTTCCCCTCTGATCCATGCGCGGGCTTGCCAGGCGGATCCCCCCGGATCCGCACACAGACATACGAAGCAGACCCCTGAGTGGGGGGAGCCGATCAGAAGGATCGAAGACCGGTGCTACATCCGGACCGGTATGACAGAAGTTCGTCCTGGGCAGATTACATTACGCACTTCTAGAGCGTGGCCACCGTCAATAGATGGAGCGAGGCCGAGAAGGCCGGGTACTTGGCCTCCCATCTGTGGGGACTGGCCCAGGAGGCATTCACCGACTTATTGCCGGAGGCCCGGAAGGACTACGTGAGCGTCCTGGAACACTTCAAGCGGCGGTTTGGAGTTGCTTCACAGGTGCCGCTCCATCGGGCTCAACTTTCCATGCGGGTGCGCGGTCGGGGAGTGTCCCTAAAGGAAGTGGGGAGGTCCATCCGACGGTTAGTCCTCTGGAGTTACCCCACCTTGCCCACACATGCGCGTGAAGATCTGGCGGTGGAGGCCTTCCGGAACACCCCGGGGTACATACAATTGCAGCGCCATGTCTTCGCCAGGAAGGCCACGACCCTGGCGGAGGCGATTACCCTGGCCACTGAGATGGAGACCTTTTTGGAGTCCCAGGCCCATCAGTGGAAGGGTCGGATCGGGGCCAAGGAGGCTCAGGTGGTCGAGGAACCCTCTGCAGGTATGCCGGGGAAGGCGGGGGTGGCGGGTGGAGATCCACCTTCGCCGGGCACCCCCTCATGGGT